TTATATAAGATATAGTATTAACAAATTGTCTCCTGTAAAGTTTATAATAAATAAAATACATCGTTTATGACTCATTGCGAACTCTTCATTTTATCATTTGCTGTTCCCAAAAAAAAAACTGTTTAATTTCAAATCAAAAATTATTTAGACAACAGTTTGTGAATACTGGAATAACCGTTTAAATAAACAAATGTTTGTTTAATTGAAAACAATATCAGATATCTAAAGCATTTGTGATTGTGATGAAAGAATACGAGTAATAGTCATTCAATATTTTTGTTTGTACGAGTTAATTCTGTATTATTGCCAACACGCACGTTTTCATCGATTAGAAATCAAAAATATATAGAAAAAAGAATATGGACCGTTCATTTTCAATCAAGATATTTGCACTGTAATCAGTTAAACAGATTTTAATTCGAACTATCTAAGGTTACTTTTGTATAATAATCACTGTAAAATATTTCATAAATAAAAACATTTTGGAAGGTGTTACTTTTACCATCGATTATATACGTGAAAGTGCATTTTGAATTGATTTAACAAAATGTCTTACAACTATCTAAAACAATATCATCTTTATACCACGATCTGCTTTACCGTTTAGTAAAATATTGTCGCCCTCTCTTTTGAACTGATTTAATTGTTTGATACTCGATTTCTGAATTCGTTTATTTTTGACGTACTATTAAATCGTCTAGTATCTAAACGCTATGTTGACATTAAATCTCACACGTTTACATAAATATACGCAAACACTGCTGATGTTTCATGAAAAGATACAGCAAATGAATGTTAAATAATAAGCTATTTGTGTTATTTGTTTTACTATTCTTCAAACTGTAAGGGTTGAATACATTATTTATAAATTCCCTTTTTTAATATTGATCTATATCATTCTGATATTATTTTCATACTGTCGGAAGCACTATATTGTATGTTGGTATCAAACATGTTTAGGTGTTAATAATTTAAAACGCCGATGGTAAAGTTAAAGCTGATAAAATTATCATAATTTTCTTTTTTATGCTTAATCTAATATACAATATCAACAAACCCATTTACAGCAACATAAACGCTGAAAATGGAAACTGTAGATGTTATATTGAATCATTGACTTCATTTAATACTTCTACTGCTATTTCAGACTTATCAGTTGATCTCAAATAAACACCGTTAAATACAAACTATACATTTCTGATAATTATGTCGTTAATAATGTAATGATTATTCAGAACTTAGTATCATATCTTACACATTCTTTTTCTTCATAAATGTAGGTTAATTAACTAGAAGAGTCGTGTCATGAAGCTGTAGATTATTGGTAGACGAAGATAATTTCAAATACAGATATTTTTCAGGAAGGAACTTTATTTTGTATTTTGATGCGAAAAACGTTACAAACGTTAATATTAGAACAAAGTTACTAAGAAATGAAAAGGATTGAATTTCTCAATTTTATTGTACAAAACAGTGTAAAGAAACAACTTTTATTTGTTAAGTGCGTTCTTTATATGTTAGTGTGTTTCATATTAAAGAATTAAAGAAGAACATTTTTGAAGTTAATTTACCATGATAGTTTTTGTAGCAAAGAAAACGGTCTAATGGCTTTTATGTTTTGCTTAAAATGAGCTTCTTTTTTACACATTATGTGTTGGCAATAAACAGTTTTCCTGAAACTGCGCGCTATTACATCCGGGTCTGTTACTTTGTGCCTCGTAAAGACAATCTTGTCCTGACGCAATTAAATTCCTTATGTTCTTGTTTTGTGCTAGAAACAAAATCCGTCCCTAATTAGCCGTGTGTGAAAAGATACATCGTTTTCTTAACTTTGCTTTTAATAAACAAAACCACAATGTTTTTTTAATGCAAATTTAAAGTCTTTACAAATATCAGCATTTCTTTCTGTGATCTCAGTTAAAAGAGCTGCAATATGCTAGACAGGTAAAGGAAAAGTCACCCATTAAAGCATTTATAATTAAACCAGATTCAAATTCAAACTATTGCCATTTCATGTTTGTTTAAGTCGGTGCTGGTGGGCGTGGACGGTACAGTACCTTCAATGATCAGACTCAATCAAACGAGCTAGCAAGATTTTCAATTTTGCCATTTTGGACTTTCTTAAGAGGTTCTTTTTTTCTATTTCAAGTACAAGATTAATTATACGCGTACCTTATTTATAATTAAGATTTTTTTGTCACTAGGAAGGATCAAATTATAAATTCCAAAAGGCCAGTGCACACAATGACTCGTTATAAAACAGAGTTTGAAGGTGATGTAAAAATATCAAAGGACACTAATAAGGCAATATTTCGCTTCTTTGCGTATCAAGTACATATTTTGGAATCTAATTTTAAAAAAGGAAAGAACAGCAAACATTCCAATAAAAATGTACAAAAAGCATTTACCACCATTCCATTTTTTATGACTATGACCAAGCTTTTCTTTTTCTTGTGGGCTAAATAAATGTGTTTTATCTTAGTTTTTGACGTCTTACATAGCTTTGTATTGTTAATGTTTATTCTATGTTGATGGAGACAAGCATTCGATATCCAATATCATATTCTAACGGCATCACACATGTTAACACAGATCGGAGATCAAGCGATAGTCGAGGTGCCAAATACAACTAATGTAAAAACATCTCCTGCTAACATCTCAGATGTCAAATTTGAAAAGGCGTCTTATAAAAAGTTCTCAAAAATGATGTAGCACAATTTGTTTAACGGCAAAAATATTTTGCAAGAAGTATTCTTATATAAATAGATAGAGATAGACTTCATTAATAATGTATAATCATATCAATTTACGACATAAAAAATACAGGTTACAGATAAATATCAATATATTTGCTAATGTAATAAATAATTTCACCTGATCAAAATACATATATTATCTCATAACTGTAGAGAACATGCAATCTCGTATGTTAGACACCTTTATCACTAACGACCAGTCTACATAGAAAGTAGATATTTCTTTTTTTTTTTCTTTCTTTTTTTTTCTTATGATGTTAAGTACCAAATATTTCTATATATCTGGTTATTGCAAACTTATCATTCGAAATTCTTCTTTTTATTGTCGAATCTTCCCAGAAAGTCTCTCAAAGCTGAAACCAATAATCATTTGTCAAAGCTCATAAAATTATTTTCAGTACATTTGTAGCATAATTCGATTTGTTGAATCTTAAATTTAACAGTTCACTGTTATTTAATGGGAGATAATGTAATTAAAAGACAAACGTCTTGGGTTAAAAGCTGTAATAAAGCGGTAATGAATAATTTGTGTCCCTCCTTAATTTGTAATTTGGTAGTTTGGTCGTAAATAATTTTGGAAAAAAAATTCATTGCTTATTGATAGGGACATAATTTTACTGCTTTATTGCACGTAATTGGTATTTATTTATTTACTTTGCTTAACCATTATTTATATTATTTATGAACGACTGTGTGAAGAAAGGGTTTACTTGAATAATACTCGGGTATTGAATTACACGAAGAGGAAACAATTATGGGCTTTATTTAATAAGTGTTTGGTCCATTGATAACTTATATAAGAGTCAGACACCTTTACCATTATTCCACATATTCTTTTAATATTTTTTTAAGATATTGTGATAATTTTTAACGCCTCTGTCAAGGGTTAATGTCTATTATTTTAAATCTGATTTGCAAGTTGTCATATTATTCAAGAAGTCACAATGTTGATCACCCTTTTGAATAACATGTTTCTATATTGTGATGTCTAATTAATATTTTCATATTTAACTGAAAACACGTAAAATACGTTTCCTCTAAATCTTTAAAAGTTCTTGCTTTTAATTAAGTCACAAACATTTTTTATTCTATCAACAGAATGGGGAAACTGTTCTCAGAGTGTTGGCTTAGACAGCTCGAGTCTGTTCTGATGGAGTAAAGATGTTGGCCGTAGTGCTCATGGAATTCACTTGATTTTGATTGATAAAAATAAAAATGTGACTCTCATTATAGTTATTCAAACTTGAACGAAAATGAAAATACAGTGTATTGTACGTGTAGAGGTATTTGATGTTTACTGTATATAAAGATTTTCTCAAATTAGACAACAGTTATATGTATGCTGCAAGTACCGTCTAATTTGTAAATAGACTGATAATGCAATCAAATTTATTATTTATAACTCTCGCCAATGTCTTAAAAACTGCACTTTGGCAGAAAGATGAAATATTCATAAGAGACATCAATACAGCATAAATAGCTTAAACGAATTTAATATTCCATTCCATTTTCCTGTCTTACTTGATTTCATACCAGGACCTTTGGGAAAATTGCATAAAGTTTTTACGAACATTTCAGTCAATAGTTGAGAACAAAACTCCAATATGTTCTATAACAAGTGTCTGGGGATTTCACGTTTCATCAAATATGAAGAAAAGGTGTTGTCCTCGCTAGGCTTTTAATAATGTTTTTCATCATTTAAGTAGTTTATGTGTATATTTCTTATTTGATTTACGAAAATTCTGTTTTATATAAATATTAAGGTTTAGCCTCTGTAAACAATTTATATTTGATTTACTTATAGTACTTTTTATAACAGGTTATTCAAATGTTGATTTTATCCCATTATATGTTATTTCATAATTAAAAATGAAGTCCCTTAAATAAAATGAATACAACTTTTTTTGTGAGATTATTTAACTTGAAAAGCTGGACTCGTCAACATTGATACTATACAGTCAGGTAAAATAAATTGAAAAAATAATTCCTTGTCACATAACATTGAATTTGAACATTACTAATGAAAATAATTGCATGTTTTGTTATTTGTAAACTCTAACTGAATTTTTTAATTTCATCAATATTTTCCACTTGTTTACAATATTTTAAATATTTTCCCATAGTATTAATTAATTTATTCCTGTCTGGTCAGCTTTTAAGCAGTTTTCCTGATATATATACAATGTGTGTCCCTATCGTAAACACAGCAAGTTATATTCTTGAGAATAAAAGTAATACTCTTACCTTTTCTAAATTGTTCGAAGCATCCATGTATGGCATTCCAAATATTGCCGGTAAGGATAAACAAACGATCACTATATACATCGATGATTTAGTCACTGAGTTCCTAAGCTGTTGTATAAATGTTCTTGCCGAAGCCACCATAATTCACGTCTTATGTCTCCGTAAACTGCAATATGAATACCGACCAAGCTTTAGCGATAATATGACAAAACTGTAAAACTGAGCTGCACTTATAGACTCTAAATATATTTTAGGTAAAAAGCTCTTCAAACTGAAATCTATTTTAGATTTTCTAACATCTGAACAAACATTGATTGGAACAATAGCAATAAAATTTAATTCAAGACGTATTTGTTCGTACTGCAATACCTTTTTTTGTAGAATTAAACTTAATGATTTTATTAGAAAAGCCCCACGTTCGATCTTAATTCATCTGTAATTCTCCGTTGAGATTTAAAGTAATCCTAAACAATTCGTTTTACTTTCATCTATATATGCCGCTCGAGAGCGTGGGCTATTATAGTAATATTATTTGATTTGAACAGATTTTCATGAACACAAAATGTCAATGAAACAATGGGCGTGGTTTAATGACAGAACCAATAGCTAAGTGAAAAGGTTTCCGCACAATTCCTACTGCGACATTCAGTCAGTTAATGGAACTGTGTATGATTGATTGATTGATAAAGCAAACGCATGGCTTAGGAAATTAAGAGCGGAAAATAATACACTGTTAAAACAGTGAGTGCGTGCGCCGGAAATGGGATAGGTGATTCCCATTGTATCTAAATCTTATTAACGTAATACAATAATTCAAAATATAATACGATATGGTCATCAATAATTATTTAATTTTTAACATCTTTACAAATTCTTTATCAGTAATTCTATCTTGTGGCAATAATGTAAAGAGAATTTGATTAATTTTAAAGCCTATCAATAAAGAAAAGAAAATTCTTGGTAGACAACCTGACAATAGAATGGAAAGTACATGTTTAAACAAAGGTCTTTTGTTAGCATCTTTGACGTAAGTATTATATAAGTCTATATTACTGACCTTTGCTCGCTAGAATTAAACATTATATTCTTTATTGTTGCTGTTAAAACGTGAACATTAGATTATTTAATAATATTATTATGGTGAGAGATAGTACAATAGCAGTTCGTGAACTTTATATCATTCAACAATAAGCAAAATATTAATAATATAACATAAATTATGAAAAAGATATTAAAACATGTAATTAAAATAATAATTGAATGTAATATGTTTGCATCACTCATATTTCGAAAATATTCCTTTAGCTATATAATTATATATGATATTTGTATATTATTCTTCTTAGGCCTGCTGTTTCAATATATTTCTTTTAAAGTCATTGATTAAAACTCTTTATATCAAAAACAAAATGTGACATCACCTCTAGAAATATCAACTAGACGGCCTCATTGTTTTTTAAACCTACGCTTTAACTAAGCCATTATTATATATAAAATGTGCATTTAAAAGTGACCAAATACATTATACATGCTAAATGGTTCTTTTTTTCACTGAAATGTAAAAGAGTAGTCGTAATTATATCAAAGAGAAATAACTCAAACGAACTTTACATGAACGGCAATATCAAGGTAGCTTTATCTTTCCTAGGTAAGTTCAAAATGTCTAAAATTACTGCAAAACTATATTTCCGATATTTTAAATTTACGATTGAAGACTCTGTTTTGTTTCAATTTAAACAGTATTGAAAAATATCTGAATGTAAAGGTATTCAGCAAGTAGAAGTGTTGTGAATAATTTTTACGGATTTGATTTATTAAGTTTTTTTTTTCAAAAGTATACACCAGCATGCGGCAGCTGTGTCAAATTTTAACCTTCGAGAACTTTCTTTGTCTTTGGACAGTATCCCTGTCGCTGTGCTTGTAAGTTTCAAACTTGGGTCGAGGTCAGTTAAGCAGATTTCATTATTACCTAACATCTACTGAAAAATAATGGATCGTGACATCTATTTTCGAATGATAAAAACAGATTAATAAATTGAAATGAGCTGTAATAATTGTATAATAATATGTAAGATATGTAGTATTATTGTGAAGATTTAACTTAAAATGCATATCTGATCCAAAAAATAATAAGTGTGAGCTTTAACAATAAAATCTCATTCTGACGATACTGGATAATTTCAGAACGATAGTAAAAAGTCATAATCACGACGACGAAAATAAAATCAGGAGAAAGAGTGTTCCCCTGAAAGCACTAGTCACACCGACATTACACGAAGACCTTTACATGAGGGATAATGAAGAGTTGCAACACCCCTTATGCCCCCTAGCACCGGTTGAGCGTTATTCAATGTCCAAAATATAGTGTTGGAATCAATGATCCCAAAGGACTAGAAGAATATATAAACACTGAAGAAAAGTTCCGCGCATCCTTTTTAAAGCTGCCACACGCCACTGTACACCTGCTGTTGTGATGCATTAAACTATAATAGAGAAAAACTGATCCCTCTAAAGCAGTAGTCACAACAAAATTACTTTCAAAATTGCAGACTCGGTTTGATTGGGTTTGTACATGATTAAGCAGAAAGTATGATGTTAAAACGTCGATACCACGATGATTAAAAATTTATGTCAAAATAACGAAAACACGTTAACAGGCGGAAAAACAAATTGTGAGAAGTCGAAAAAACGATTATGAAAATTTGAAACAACGAAACCACGATGGTAAAAGGACGAAAACACGAAATATCTTCGAGTTTTCACCATTGTGGTTATGTTATTTCGTCTTTTCATCATCGTACATTCGATTTTATATCATCGTTACTTCGTCATTTTACCATCGTTGTTTAATCATTTTGACTTTTCACCATCGTAATTTGGTGTTTGAGCCTTTTAGAAGTGTGTGTGTCGCAATGACCCTTACTAACAACTGAGCATCGTATATAAGTTTTCATGATCTTATTTTTATCTCGTAAGCTTTATTTTACAAAACTTTTTTTGCACATGATATATGAAGCAGTGTTATTTCCACTTTCTAATCAGGGGTATCATTGATACATCTGATTAATTTCTACAATGCCCAAAAGCTATCTACAATATTTTGAACCGCCAATTTAAAATGACACTAAATCAAATACAGTCTGGTATTAAACTTTTTGAATAGGCCTCATTGCTTTCCTTTGGTTAAAAACGTAATAAAACAAAATGATAATCTCTGGGTGTTTTTTTTAGATTTAGAAGTAATAACTAATATTTTGGTATTTTATTCGCAGACACAATGCCGCTAACACATTTCAAATATTCACTAACTTGCCATGATCGTTCTTTCATACAAGATAAAGTATTGTCATAAACAAAGTTTTTTATATTATCATAAATTATTAGAATAATGTTGTAACATATGCTTTATTCTAAACATTGGCGACGTTATAAATACAAATGAAACATTTTTTTCTCGAGTTAAAAATTCAATTAAAGATAATATGTTAAATACAGACAAAAACAGGACAGTATCGTCAGAATGATATAACTTAGATTGTACTTCAGGACCTAAATTTTTGTAGTTAGAGATTCGTTAATGAAAACCTTTAGTCGTGCTTCTGATACAGTTGTTACTATTTTGAGAAACAAATGATGTATACATACGTCTTGAAAGCTGATATGTTCGCTTTTAAAGTGACACAATGGCTTAATTAATTCAAGAAGGAAAAGTACAAAATAATTACACATTATTGGATAGGTATGTATACCAATTTCACTAAGCTATCTCTTTGTAATTGATCATCATTTCTCAAATAACATTTATATGTCATCCTCTGTATTTTCTCTATTGTCATCACCTTGTTCACATGTAGATCCGAATAGTGTTATTGTCTAGAGGCCATTATCACACATTTTTGATAAATATATCCGAGCTTGTGATAACCGCCCGACAATGCTACTCGCGTTACGACACGTGGGTTGTTTTGTTAAAGGGCGTATGCTGTTGATCTGAGGTGACACTTAAAGGCACATAATGTCTCGGTAATGTTTTAATTTATAATTTTGCAGAAAGGGTAAATATGTGTGAAATAATGTTGTTATAATTGTATTAGAACAGTCATGTGAGATGTTCATCATACTGATGTGATAAAGGTAAATGAAGCAAAATGTTAACAAAGTGGTATTTTGACTTTCGTACAAAATACTAATTCATTGCTACTATATACTTATTACCGAAACGCAAAAGAAACAAAAGATGGCTCAAAAATATGAGTAACTGTTTGAAAACTGTAGTTGGATAGAGGCCTATCAAAAATGAAATGCTTTTGAAAAAAATAAAATGATATGATTTATGAGACTTAATTGGCCTTTGATCCAATACCAAAACCAGTTTGTCCGTAATAGATCATATATTTTTAGGGCTACACAGATGCGTATATATGCTAGATTAAAATAAGAAAATAACTTTGTTAATACAATTTATTTCAATTTTAGAACTTCAAATATCAAAGTGTCATTGGGATATGAAATGACGTTTTTTTTTGTTGTTTCCTGTATAGTTGTGGTCGCTCTGTTACCGCTTTATCTTAGAATTTGCTGTGCAGTATTTAGCTCAAATATACGGAAACTACCTAAGTAATTATTTTAAAAAAACTGAACTGTTGGTTTGATACGAAAAGTGAATGATCAATATATATAACAGTTACTATATTTATTACAAGAACAAAAATAACCGTTGTTTATGTTTTTAGGGGGTTTTTGGTGCTGCTGTTGTATTGTTGTTGTTGTTTGTTTTTTTCCTTCAATCGGTATATGAGTAAATTTGAAAATGTTCACGGATGTAGGCAATTATGACACTCTGTTATATGGTTCTCTTGTCCAAGATGGAAATTTTTTATGTATAAATTTTTATATAGAAAAAAGTCGATAGTTATGCATGAAGACATAATGGAATAATGCAGTAAAAACAATTTGGGCTTTCAATAATATTTATTAAACAACTTTGAATGTCTGCACAACACAGCTATAATTGTGTTCCATAATGATGCCTTTCAGTGTCCAAGTGTACAAATTGCTTTAAAAGAAAAATACTCTAATAATTCTATTATTCAGTGAAATAGAGTTATGTTCATGACAGTTATTTGGCAAACCATGGGGCATTTCTATGCAAGAAGTGCCGTTTTCTAGCTAAACCTCCTCTGTCAAATTACTGAATTGATGTGTAGTACAAAGACTGGAATCACTATTTATTTATAATCTATTTTTTATTTAATCTTTACCTACAGAATTTGATATAAAAAACAAAATTACACCACATGATATTTATATATATAAAATTATGATATGTGTTTTAAATGTATGTTAATTTTAATGTCAATCAGTGAATGTTATTAAAATCACATTCCAGTACACATACACAGGTTAATGTATCTAAAATGTTTCTAAAAGAATTCTACCGAGACCATTACAAAATCTAATGATGCATTAACCTGTGTCCAATAAAAGTTCTTGGCGAGGCATTTGCATGACCTACAGTAACTGACGCC